ACTGCCCAGTCCACCATAGACTCGCTTCATTTAAGGTGTCACAAGTGATGAAGCAGCACAATCCAGTACTGCAGGAAATGGGGGTGTAAGTGTTCCAGAATGACTCAACTCTTCTGTTGTCATCAGCAGCGATAGAAAGTGGAACTAGATGGGGCTTGAGTGGGTTGGAAATAAATTGGATGAAGAATGTGTCCATGTCTCAGTTAATCAGTGCCTTTCAAGGATGATGCCCTGCAAGACTGGTGTGGCTGTTGCTGTTGTCCAGTGGAACATTTTAATCTTTACTGGGCAGACCAAGTCTACAATTTGGCAAGTTTGTGGTCACTTAAGAGACTGGATTAACTGTTGGCCACCAGCTAATTCCTTCCAGTTTCCAAGAAGCAAGTTCTTCTTTAAGACCTTAAAGCCACTGAGTGGTTTCCCCAAGTCCCTACAGCTTGGTTGGGAAGATACGTCAGTTTATCCATCTCTTTGTTGCATTTTCCCTTTCCTACCCCCCACTGGTGTGGAGGAGAGGAGGAGAAGGGGCAGAGATAGGGGGGGCATCTGCTAAAGTGACATTGTGTTGTGTCAGGTGAAGGAGTGAGGCACAAGCATGCATCTGGTCTCATCTTGATAGATGAGTGGCTTCTGATATCCCTGAATGCCATCAGTGCAGCCTTGCTGAGACTTATTACTGTATTGCTTTTCCCAAACCAGAGCCGGTCTCCCGTGCAATGCTGAGTAGGACTAGTCATACACATGTGGTGTATCTCTCTTGCTCTTGGTGGCAGTGATTACTGGAGAATAAAATGAGTTCTTGCCTCACAAGGGAAGTCTATGGAGCTGTCAGTTCAAGCCTGCTGGAGATGCTGTGCCTGTATTTTTTTTTCCATTAAAAAATGTTGTGCTTTGCTGAAGTGAAAATACTGCCAAAATAACAACTTCAGTTGAGTTTCTCTGGGCCAACAGTTCTTTGCAGAGGCCTTCTTTTGTTTGGTTGTTTTTTTGTTTGAGTCCCATTATAGATTTTGGTTTAAATCTGTTATAGAAGATTTCAGTTGTTACTGTCGAGTCTCCATGAGCATGTACTGGTGCAGATATTGTGTGGCTTCAGTGCACATAAAAACGATGACATTTTGCAGAAAAACAAACAAGATGAGCCCAAACTGGAATTTTGGCATACAAAATAACTGCAGTTTTCCTTCCGTTTTGCAGGAGTTATCACAACTGTGCTGACACCTGAAAAAGTAAACCTTCACTGCCTGAATTTGGTTCCTTGTAGTAACCGAAGTCCTGGGGTAGATTATTGTAGTGAGCTTTTCATCGCAGTTCCTGGTAGCAAATCTAAAGACAACGTGTGTGAGAAGACTCATATTAATTCACATCTGGAGTGCAGAGGCTCAGCCTGACTCTCCCATCTGGGCAGGAGAACAAACCCGTGCCTGAGCAGGAGCCTGTGCTGAAAGCCAGGAACCAGATCTGTAGGAGAAACCAGACCTGGAGCCCCTTTAGGTTCCATGGCAGGTTGTGAGCAGGGCTGCTCTCAGCAAACCCAGGATGGAAAGGGTCTGGCGCCCAGGAGACAAGGCTGTGGGTTTGAATGACTGTTGCTCTCAGACCATGCTGTAGAGCTTCTAACAGCTCAGGAGCTGTTGCAAGCTGGTTTTTATGTTCAGGAAAACATGACCTGTCTGCATTGACCTGCATGGCTCCATGTGCCTCACCATCATGCATAACAGCAGAGAAGCTCTTTTGTGCTGAAAGGAATATATACATATGCTGGGCCGGACGGCATAAGGGTTGAATTAGGAGGGCAGTGTTATCTTTGTGAGGCAGAGAACAGCTTCCTAATTGAGTATGAGTAATCCCTTTAATAACAAAGAATAGCACCAGCCCTTCTGTGTGAGCCAGATGTATTTACAGAACAACTTGTGGAGATTTTTATTACATGGTATTGACATCACTTTTCTTTGTGGGGACTCCAATGACTACAAGTCTGACCACTGTTGTGTCATGGAGCGAGCAAAAGGAAAGGAAGATTCCCTTTCAAAATCCATTATGGAAAAGCTGACAAAAACTTTTAAAATGTCATTGGTTTCATGTCCTTTCATTATATGTTCATTGTATGCCTCATCATATGGGAGAGATGAAAGTAACAGCCCTTAAAACACCGCAGGTCTCCTGCACAGTGGTGGGAGGTTTCTGATCCCAGAGGGCTGTGGAGTGTGATGATTTCAGTTTATTGTCTATTTAGACCCAGATGTTTCTTTTCTTTCTATATTTGTGGGGAAAAGAAAACGTGTTTGTGAGGGGAGAAAAAAAATGTACGTGGGGCTGCAGAGTTTAGGAGTATGTAAAGAACTGGAAGAAAAAGTAAATTGTATGCGAGGTGCAGTATCACTGGCTGTCACACAAACACACCTAAGAGCATAGTGAGATGTAGTTGGCTGTTTGAATACAAAATTCCTATTTTTATAAAAATCCTTAAAACCCTCATTTTTTTCCCCTATTTTGTACCAAAAATGTTATTTCTACTCTATAAATAAACCTAAAACAAGTGAAGAAAATACTAATGGAAACAAAACCTTTTTCCTGTTTTTAAGTGCTGTGACTGAAGGAACAGTGGTGCTGGTGCCTATATAGAAAAGTACATTTTGATGAATAAGTAAGGCAGCATTTCTGCCTATACTGGAATTGTGAGTTTTGTTTGGTTTTGAAAGTTTCTGAATGTACCTTTTAAACACTGATGCTGAAGGGAGCACGGGAGATGAGGATAGTCCAAATAGGTGACAATTTCTCTGTCTCCTCATGTTCCTATCCTCCGCTCTTGCTGGCTCCCATACACACATACAGATTTCCCTTGTAATTCAGAACTGTAATAGGCATGGACTGCAGCAAAGCAATTTCATAACATCCTACTGTAGCAGTAAATACTAATGTCTCTGCTCTTCTGCATGGCAAAGGAACAGTTTCCCCTGAATCAGTGTCAACAGATTTGACTAGATTTTCCTTGTGACGTATCTGTGCTACCTCAGCATAAGTTTAATATCTCTTATGTCCAGGTGCTGCTTCTGCCCTGCTCTGAATCCTCTTGGTGGGGTTCAGCCAAGCTCTGTGCCTTCATGGTAAACCAGGATGACAACCTGCTTTTGAAGGATGCTATAAGGCAGAATTAACTAGTGCTCACAAAGTGTGCTGGCAGGCAGAGGAGATGGGTCAGGGTCGCATGTGTTTTGACTGCAGTTTATAAAGTGTTCTCTTTGGCTTGTATTTATCCTTTTTGAAATGACAGGACAGGGAAGAGTATGTTCCTGTCCCTATTGAAACAAAGCAAATTAAAGTTGGTGGTCAGGTTGGGACACAGATGACTTGATCAGAACCTCTAGACTCTCATCCATATATTTGCAAAATACAGCAGTATTTAAATCACTGGATTCTGTAGTGCCTTTAGAAACATCAAGTGAAAGCTTGAGCTGTATTGGCCAAATTCTGAAGGTTTCCACCCTCAGATAAAAACATCTTTTGACTTGAGTAAGTTTTGCTTGTAAAGCTATGTATAGTCTATACCTAGTGAAGTACTAATTCTGGTAAACACTGAGCCAGGCCTGGGTAGTGGGTGTTCATTTGCAGTGTGAACCTGGCATCGTATCTAGGAAGTCTGAGTCAGAAACTCACCCTGTTTTTTCCACTGGGTTAATAGCAGCAAATGCACAAACTCTTTATTAAGATGGTGCATTCATTTCTCTGGAGTCATGATGGAATTTTGATAGAATTAAGAACCCCATTAATATTTATATCTGTGTTACTGGGAGTAAGTACATTTATTTTAACTTGAGCTGCAAATAATTTAGTCCTTTGTAATTACAGTACTGCTATTAAGTATTCATAAGGCTGTACAATATAGTGTCATAGGAAACCTATTTTAATTTAGTGGCAAGTCAATGTTTTAATTTTGTGTAAAAACAGAAACTCATTCACCAAGCATTTTTGCTTGTGTTTTTTTGCAAGCCCTTTATTTTTCATTTATTTCTAGAAACAAGACTATTTCAGCTGTGAGAGTCTTTGGTAATGCATAGAGATGGGTCTGTCTGAGGTCATTGGGAGTTTTGCCTTGAAGAAGGACAGGATGGTTTAACCAAGGGTATTTATGAGCATGCCACTTCCCACACCAGTACCCAGAGCTCACTGGGTGCAGTGTGGCATGCTCTGTGCACTGGTATAATGCTTTGTTTTCGTGTCTTAAAAATCGTTTTTCTACTAAGTCATTTGTGGTAGTTAAGAGGAAAGATGCTGCTAGTATTTGGGGCAGCACTACACGGAACAGGACCTTTCAACCAGTAACACAAGGTGTCTGCAGAGGGCTGTGATAAATACAGTCTTTGATGTGGTATTCATGGTACCATCTGACTTCTGCTTATGCTTTTTCTCCTCACCCCTGTGGAAACCAAGTATTTGACCAGAAAAGTCTTTTCTCTGTACTGGTGTAGTGGTCCTTGCAGTAGTTTGCTACCTTGCTGCAGTTGAAATAATCCTTTGGGAATCTTGATCCCAGAAGTTCCCAGGAGAAGTGATGACCATGGGGTGTGTTAGAAGTTGATCTTAGATTTCAGATGAAGACTTGGAAGCTCGTAAGAGGGAGAACTTTTTTTTTTTGTTTTCAGTAGAGCCAATGTCCCACTAGGACCTTGAAGCATTCTGTTAGCCCTAAGCTGTGCACGAATGGTGGTGTATACACAACCACAAAGGGCTGTCTATCACTTTGGCTTGATTTTATGGCTCCAGGCATGTGCCTTAGTGGTGTGAGATACAAATATGCCAGGGTAGATAACAGAAAACTGTGTTATGACAGCTCTGCAATGGTATGACTTCATTTGACATGTCTACAAGACTTCTGCTTGCAAGAGAAGCCAGGACAGAGAAGCAAAATGCGGCATATGGGTGTCTTCAGTGGGGAAATGTGCATCTGTGAGACAGATCCTGTAGCTTATAACTGTCCTTTCTAACTCTCTCCGCTGCAGGACGAGGTCTCTTCTATGGACATTGAACTCCCAGCTACCTATGCCTACTGCCTGTGATGGAAGAACTTGATGTTAATGTGAGGTAGGATAAACTACATGGCTCCTCCTATACCTTGTCTTGTCACTAGTGAGCTGCAGGGGGGCAGCAGCTATGTGGGGTGTTTGCAAAGCTACAGGATGCTATATTCTGTTTGTCTGTAGATGAAGGTTTCTGCTCATGCAGCAATGCCTGCTTTGGAGTTTCCTGTGGCTTCTGTGGGGATGTAGTGTTGTCCTGTTATTCGTGTAAGTGTCAGATGTGACCCACCAGACCCACTTCACACAAGGACATCAAACTTGTGACTAAACCCGTGCTGCTGGCCCAGACACAGGAGGAAGCAGTATTTCAGTTGCGATAACTCTTTGTGGAAACGTACACCTCTTTTCTTAAAAACCACTCAGGGGGTATCTGATGTCTCAGGTTTTAATTCTGGGGAGTAGTTCTTCGCCCTTCCCCTGTGCGGACACTCAGGTGGCAAAAACATGGGGAAATGTCTTGGAGAAAATTGCTCTGACAGAGACAGATTCAATGTCTGCACTCTGGTCCTGCAAGAAGCCTTTCCCTAAGGTGTTACTGAACAGAGATCAGCAGGAAACGCCATACAGAAAAGGGGGGACAGGGTTTTGCACCTCAAAAGGGATCTTGTCATGCCACCCTGTCCTCACTGCTTTCTAGCTCTTGGGCTTTCAGGTTGGGATGTGCCTCTGCGCAAGCCACATTCTCCCCAATTGCGTGCACAGAGTGAGATAATACATTTTTCAAAGGCAATTTCTATTCTTAATGAGCCTTCTCAAAGTGCTGTACTATCAAAGAGAACATCTCTGGTCTTCATTCACCTACTCAAGTGTCAGGAAAGTCACCAGCAACTCCAGGTTGCTGCGTAATGCACACTTAGCAGGTCGCATTTATAACCTGGTAATCAATGCTGAGAGATAAGGTGTTTTGCTTAATGAAATTCGTCTTGCCTTTTTAATACCAGAAGTGTAGTTAAATGTGTAGGCTACCGCTGTTTTTCTGTAAAGGGAATTAAGGTGCTGATACCAGGCAATTTTCCCTACAATATTTTCCTGCCTGTAAAGACACAAGGAAAAAAAACCTTCCGTTTCTCACTGTGGTGAAAAAAATTCCTCCCTATACATTTCATCATTTATAGAAGGGAAATGTCAGTTCAGAAACACCAAGGAACACAGAGAAACTGGCTCAGCGAGTGCCTGAACCACAAATGCCTGGGCACAGGGAGGCTGTACTGGAAGGGAAGTGTGACATTATATTTATCTTACCCTTTTTTCAGTAATGTGTCATTTGCCACACGTGGAGACAGACATTGAGTAGGTCTGACTAAGCATGGGTGTTTTGAAGTGATCTGTTGGAGTTTTGTCATTCACTGTTTGTAGGAACCAACAGATCATTCTGTTTCTTCTTATTTTTTTAATTTAGTTTTAATTAAAACTTTCATTTCAAATTGTTTTTTATTTGAACCCAATTTCAATATAATTAACATTAATAATATAACGTAATTATATTATATATTATATATTATATAGTATATAGTATATAGTATATTTATAATTATTTAGATTTATAATTATATATTCTACTAATAGGATATAATTTATAATATAATGTAATGTAATATGATATAAGAGGGTCCAAAACCCACCCAAGCCAGAACCCTACTCTTCCCGCAGTGTCCAAAACCCAAACCCAAATAAAGCTGATTCCTATCAGAGTTAGTCTTTCTATTCTGATACTTTTCCCAATACGTGATGTAACCTGAATTCAACGAGAAGCGCTAGGGAGGAAGGGGTTTGGGAGCTCCAGGAGTGCATGGACAGAGCTGCAGGGGGGCTTCCTTTGGGAAAATGCCAGTTGCACAACACTATAGAAAGGTGTTTTGGAGAGAGTTCCCTCAAGAGACTCTTTTCCCTTTGAGACTGGGTAGTGTGGCCTGACCCTGACAGGGCAGCGGAAGGACCTCTGAGGGGAAATCCTTGTTTGGTGAGTCATTTCATCTGATTTCCCATTTAGATGTTAAAAGAGGCAACACAAGGTATTCCTGGGAATCAGATGAGGAAAAACCCATGAGAATTTGAAAGCTCTTGTGAATCACTATTGGTTCACTGTTCCAGAGCTGTTTGATCAAACCCTGTGGTCAGATCTCACTTTGTTATACTTCAGGAATGGTTTCTATTCTTTTGTTCCTAAGGCTTTCTCTGAGCTGAACTAAGGCAGTCCTTCATTCTGTGTGACTGGTTGCATAAGCTGAATCTGTGGTAGGCTCCTTTCCAAACCATGAATTTTGGGGTTTGAGAGCTTTGCTATCTGCCACCAGTAAGTAGCTGATGTTTCTCCTTTAGCTGCCCTAATTCCAGCTTTTTTTTGCTGAGATGTGAAAAGCTAAATGTTTTCTGTCAAAGCAAGGACCTTCCATGTGTTGTTTTCCAGAGCTGTACGTGGTAAGCCTGAGAGGTGGGAGCACTGGGGTTCTGACTCCCCATCCCTATGGGGCTCAGGGATGCTCCAGTGGGAAGGCTGCACGAGAAGGGCAGCAAAGCTTGGGGAAATGGGAGATGTTTTGACAACATGAGGACAACAGCGGGCTGGGAGGAGAGTGGGGACAGGTTGAGTTTGTTTAAAGCTGAGCCTTGTGGAACAGCAACATTTGGAACAGCAAGTTCCACAGTTGTCCTCCTCCAGCCAACTGAGATGGCCATGGTCAGAGAGCTCCTGCCCTTGATGGGTTTTGATGAGGTGCCCAGAGGATGACAAGTGATGAGTGGCTTTACATCTCTGTAGCTACCTGAAGCATTGCAGGCAGCTTCAACTGTACAAATGTTTTATTTCTGTGGAAAGAATTGGTTATGAATTTTGCAAAGGCTGCAGCGTGAGGTTGGAGACACATTCCTGGAAACTTCAGACAGTCTGCTTTGGAGCTTGTATTTATCATAGCCAAGGGGGGTGGCAGACCTCATTTTCTTTAATTCTAGAGTAGAAAAATAAATGGCCTTGCACATATTTGATCTATATTTTATAGAATTTTTAATTTTGTGTGAGTTGGTGATTGTTATTGGACACATTTATTATAGGCAGCAGGATAATAAGAAACTGTCAAGTGGTTTGGAATGAAAACTCTTAACACTGGAATTTATTAGAGTATGGGGGGGGGGGTCTGTGTGTGCAAACTATTTCCTTTATTCTCTTAGTTTCCAAGACCTTTATAAAGCTATTAGCTGGGCACACTACAACCAAGAGTGCAGCAGTCCTTCCCCCTGACCAGTTGGAGCACAGTATGCACATGGTGAACTGAAGGCTGCTTGCTGTTGATGCCCTCCACCAAAGGGCAGGAGCTCCTGCAGATTCCTTCACTGCTACCCTCATTGGCACAAACTCCTTCCCCCATCTGAAGGTTGTGATGTAGCACTTGGAATCTTCTCTTTGGAGCCAGAGCTGGCACAAGGGTTTTAGCAAGCAGGCTGCATGCCCCCATGACAAGGTGTTTCTTGTAAATCTGTACAAACATTCAAAACATGTTTGCATTTCTCTTTTTCAGTTTTTCTGGGTTTTTTGGTGCATTAAGACAATTTCACTTTCAAACAAACAGAAGGATTTTGACAGCCTTAGAGAAAGTGGAAAAAGGTTGAATCTCTTTGAGCGCAAAAGGAAAATACAGAGATGGTTCAGCTGCAGTTTGTTCCACTGTGCCTACACTTGCATTTCAGTGCAGAACAGCAGTAAGGTGAATCTCCCAGTCATCCCCACACATAGTCCATCAGTTCAGATCACATAGTGCATAGACACTAAACCAGCAGCTCTGCACAGCACACTCTGCAGTCCACAATGAGAACTAAAGATTTTGAAGCATGGCCTCAAACTGTGCAGCTTCCACATTCAGGCATGGTGGGGACATTCAGGCAGGAGACTGGGCTAAATCCGAAATTCCAAATATCCCATGTTCTGCCTATAGTGGAGATGTAGAGGCCACAGTACCAACTGCTTTGATTTGTGCCTGTTGTGCTAAATGACCAGAGAAAATAGACGTAGTTTCTGTGTACAGAAGTTACCTGGCAGTCCGTGGACTTGTTTCTCTGTGTACAGACCAGGCACGCGGCTCTTGGCGAGTGTGGACAGGTACATAACAACTCTGCCCTTGAAAACTGAGAGGATTTCTGTGTACCAAGAAGGACACCTGCAGACCTTGCTGAGCAATCCGAACAGGGATGGACTCTGCTTCTCTTGAGCCCTTGCCAGTGTAGATAGCAAACGCACCGTTCATGGAAAGTGAGCAATGGTCTCACTGAAGACTATTAAAGTCTGCATAGATGTTTGGTAAGGCTGTTATTATATCACTATGGAGCATTCGCTGTAGCCAGGAATAATGTAAAGTTTCCCACTGGTATTCCAGCCTACTTTTATCACATAGCAGATCAATCTGACTCTTCTGCATTGCTGGGAGCACAGGTGACTTGAATCCACACTAGTTCTGAATGGTGTGGTGTCCTGGGTTTAGCAGTAGCAGTCATTTTTCTCCTTCTTGGTAGCTGGTGCAGAGCTGTGTTTTTGACTTTCGGCCTGGGAGCAGAGCTGATAACACTGGTGTTGAGTCTGACCAAGGACTTTGTGAGCCTCATGCCCTGCCAGGGAGGAGGGAAAGCTGGGAGGAAGCAGAGGCAGAACACCTGGCCCAAACTGATCAAAGAAGTATTCCATACCACAGCACGTCATGCCCAGGATGTAACTGAGAGTTACCCAGAAGGGCTAGGACTGCGGGCTCGGACTAGCTGTTGGTTGGTGTGGGGTGGGGCGAGTTAATGATCAGTGAGTGGTGAGGTGTTGTATTCTCTTCCCTTGTTATTTCCTTTATCATTACTATTATTGGTGGTAGCAGTAGTGATTTGTGTTATACCTTAGTTGCTAAACTGTTCTTATCTCAACCCGTGGGAGCTGCATTCTTTTGATTCTCCTCCCCATCCCTCTGCGAGTGGCGGGAGGGCAAGAAGGGGTGTGTGTGTTTGTGTGTGTGTGTGAGAGAGGGAGGCTGCATG